CCCCAAAACCCCAAAACCCCAAAACCCCGAGACATCTGATTATGATTGTAACTCCCTAATTATAAATATTACTATTTAAATTTATTAATTTGAAAAGACAAAAAGATGAACAACCAATTTTTGAATGTTTGTAAGTAGTAATTAGGATTAACAAAATCCTTTTAATGCTTTTGATTATGCATTGGATCCATGATGAAAATGCTTAATATGAAGAATCAGAATAGTCACTGTTTTCTTCATCAGAACCATCAGAACCATCATCACTACCCGAGTAATCTGAATCAGAGTAGTCTCTATTGTCAGTATCTATATTTGTTAATAAAAAAGGAGTACTTCTAGCTTGGTTGACAGCACCGTCAGTATCAATGCCTCCACATGCTTGGATAGCATATAAAATTCTCTCTTTGCAAATTTCATCTTTTGAATATCTTGGGAGATCAAACTGGAAGAAGCAGGTATGTGCCTCAGGTAAACGAGTATCATGATCTCTAGATCTTCCTTCTGAGATTAACATAAGCTTGAATTTTCTATCATTGAGTCTCTCAGGTGGAGGAAGTCTTGCTCTTCCCCATGTGAACTTCAAAAACATTGATTTTTCTTGGTTTGTAAATTCATCGAAGACCCTCCAGAATCTCTCCACAAACTCATTTTCAGAGTTGCAATCTGAGTAATAAGTTATAGACTTCAAATCATCTGTTGAGATTATTGTTGGCCCTGTAACTTTTTGTTCAATAAATCTCCAGTTAAGAATTCTTAGATGGGATGTTGGAAAAATAATGTCAAAGCCTTCTCTGATTGACTCAAATTGCTCATTAAATTCATCAATTCTTGCTTTTATTACTTGTTTATGATACTCATCTACTTCCTCATACAACACTTTTTTGTCTTCTCCATTAGAACATAATGGAATGGTATCTCCATTGGATAGTTGGGTTGTCCAAGTGAGCTCCATCATTTCTTCAAATTCTTCTTTAGTTGCCTAAATTATAACATAAAAATACTTACAGTTTCTTTCATACCTTCAACTTCTTTGATCACCTGAACTAAATATGCATCTGAATACTCAAGATCTTCAAGTGTAATTTCTTCACCTGTGAATTTCTTCCAGAAAATTGAAGGAAGCTTAATATCCATAACTTGGCCTGCTCTGAAAGCCATTCCGAGCAGAGCTCCAAAGAACTTATACATCCTCATATGAGTTTTAGTATTAGACTGTGGGTTAACAGTCCAAAGATCTCTTCCAAATCCATGATCATTTTTGTTATTCTGGGTAGGAATCAGCAACGGTAAGTATTGGCTTTGTAGTTCATCAGTGATATTACTAATAGTTTCTCTATATGGTCCTCCTTGATCAACACTTCCTTCACCAACGAATCTAGCAGTCCATGCTTTGGACTCTGAATCTCTAACTCTCATACACCTGTAGCCATTTTCTCTTCATTTCTTCATGGTAGTGGAGAAGATTGTCCATCTGCCTCTCTCATCAACTAGGCCTTGATCCTTCTTGTTTTGTACATCAATTCTGTTAAATTCGACAGTAGGACCACCACTCTGTCTTCTTAGAGAACTTCTAATCATCGTAATGTATGAATATTTTACAGCATCAAGAGTAAGATTCCTAGCCGAAGCAATGATCGCACTAAAGACACTTCCATAATGCAAATTGTGAGTACTGAGATTGCCTAAAGAAGCCTCCTCTGAAATATAGAACCTATATTAAAGTTATGTATCATTAATAAAACTGTGAATTTAAGGGTGAACTGGTTCTCAAACAAGCAATGGGAATAATGAGCTTTATTTGATTTGCTTAATTTATTTTAAGGCAGTTATCGAAAAGATTATTATCCTAGAGCATTAATTTTTTTTAAATTTGTATTGTTTTGGTAATCCAGAAGTTTGTTACAGATGATTAATACACTTACTTTAGTGCTCTTAAAACAGTCTTATTGAATCTTAGAATTCCTTTGACTCTTTCTTCTACTCATTCTTTGTCTATACAATAAATTAGCAATGATCTGACAAAGACTACCTATTTTTAATAACAATCAGCTAAAATTAAAACTACAAAAGTTGAATTTCTGAATTTGTTACATACCCTTAAGTTCTTGATTTTCAAATATCAGCTCTTCAAACTTAATGTCTTTTTCAGTCGTGTCTGTGAACTCCATATTATTCTTTACAAGGTATGCATCAATACTCTGCATTATCTTCTTATCTAGCTTTGGAGAAAATTCTTTGAAACCCAAAGCAAGTCTTTCGTAGCTTTTCTTTTCCTCTTTGTTAGCTAGCACCATGTTAAATAACTGAAATATAGCAGCAATGTAGACAGTTTTCAGAGAAATAAAATATGCTCTGTGAAGCAGAGAAAAAGACTTACTGTTTGCATTCAATTGTATCATTTTGTCATTCTTCTCATACCCATAATCAGGAGTGATATTGATCTTGAAGATAGGATCTTCCTCTTTGCCGAAGTATTCTTCCAGTTCAAATATAGGGAGAGCTGACTTATTCTTCAAAGGCTTTCCAATTCTAAAATAGATTGAATCTTTAATATCTGAACTCTTCTTTTCGAAAATATCAGTTTCATTTGATTGTACAAATCCATCATCCTTATTCTCTTCTTCAGAAGCTTTCTTGTCTTCTTCATTAAAACGAGCGAGATAGATAGGCTCGAGATCATCAGAAGCTTGAGAATCGAGAAGATCTTCTTCATTAAAATCTGGCCATTTCTTGTTAGGAATGTCTTCAATGTATTTCTTAGTTGTATAGCACACGTCAGGAAGTTTTCCTATAAGTAGTTGTGGTTTCTTACCTTCTTCTTTAAGTTTAGCATATCCTTGTTTCGAAGCATAAACCCATTCGTTATCCTAAAGATTTAGAGAATTTATTACCTTTCTCCAGAAATGCATTGTGCCAGTGATCGTGTCTAGTTTGAGGTCAGAGTGTGAGCCATACCCATGATGTGTTACTTCCTTCTGGGCATCCTCATCAATGCAGAAATAAATTTGGTTTTCTGCAGCTTCCATGAATTTACAGTAAGCTCCATCAAGAAATTCGCAATGAACAATTCCCTTATTGTTCGCAATCTCACCTGTGACGAAGAATGCTGGCACTCCTGGTTTTAATTTTGGAGGATCTCCTTCTGTAGAGTCTAGATCATGCTTGTGTTCTATAAATTAGGAGATAAAGCTTTATTTAAGGATAAATATTGTAATTTAAAACATTTTTTTGCTTTAAAAATTAAAATTCACTTTTTTAAAAATAAGATAGAAATTTCTATTGTTTATATAAGTCTATGCTTAATTTAAATATAATAACATTCCAACTTTTCATGAGAAATTACTATCATATGAAGGAAACTCTTATAAATATTAAGAAGTTGCAATAAATTGGTTCTTACCTTCTTTTGCAATACAATGTATAATCGCCATATTTTTACCTCACTTTGCAGCTTTAGTATAATAGTTTTTGAAGAATGGAATTTCAACTGGCTTAGAAATTTCTGTATGATTTGTTATTCCAAGTTGGAAAGATTTATTTGAACCCCATCCAAAAAGCCTTCCATCGTCAGTCACTGCCATTGCTCAGTCAGAATAAACGCTGACATCAATAAAGTTGATTGATGACTTATCATAATCCAAAGGAGAGAAAGTATTTGAACTATGGACATTTCCTTGACCAAGTAAATAAGTAGAGCTCATTCCATAAGACCATAATTCATTCCTTCCCATCCTTTTTACAAGCATTATACAGAATCATTTATTGTCTCAAGTTCTAGCAGCAAAAGGCTTTATTGGTTCAAGGCCATTTCCAATCTTGATTTCTTTGAATTCCCCATATTCTCCTGATTCTCCCAATTCGCTTAAGAAACTTTTTCCAGAAGCATATCATTTGCCATTAGTGGTTGTATAAATAATGTAGTCAGGTCCAATATCAAAATGGGCTACTTGCTCCTCATCTTCATGAGGTCTAGGCTTATGTTTGAAAGTTTCTAAGACACTTTCTTCATCTTCATTAAACTGATTATTATTATTTACACCTTGGAAATAGAACTTGCCACTCCTTGTGAGAACTACATGGCTGAAATAAGAAACTTTAACATCAACAATTATTTCGGATCCAATTTCATTAGGGTATAGTGTAAAGTCTTCATATTCTTCAGGCCAAGTGAAGTTCTTTCCTTTTCTATAAAGTTGATGCTTCTCTGTTAACAGCAAGGCATATCCTTTTACTTGAGCAATAAGTTTTACTCCTTTCTTGAACTCTGGGAGAGTTGATACTTTTGGAATTTCGCAGTCTTCAGAGTAATCTAAATACTTAACAGTATTCTTTTGGCTGTTTGAAATTGATTTAGAACTCTTCTTGGCATTTTGGCAGTGGAAGTATATTGGAGTATTTTGTCTAAGATCTTGCGCTTCATTAAAGAGATTATAGGTTGGAGATAGTGTAATGTCAAACTTCTTTCCTAATGCATCTTCAGGTTCATGGATCAATATGTGAGGTAGCTTTCCTTCAGGGTCTTTAGAGAATAGAATTGAAGCTCCTTTTGCAAATTCACTATCTTTATCCAAAGCAATTGAAATCTTCTTGCACTGGTTAATAGCATATTTTGAACACTCTTCATAATCAAAATCTTCTTCAGAGTTGGTCAAAATAATTTTATTATCCTCTCTTTTAGCTAAGCCATTCTTTTCAAAGTACAACAAGTAAGATAGCAGGTTAAAATCATTAGTCTCCTTCAGGATCTGTACATACTTTTCAATTTCGAGAAGATATTCAGGATATGTATAGGAACATTTAACATTTGGATATTTCTGCTCTAGTACTCTGAGACAGCAGAAAATTTCGAATAAGATCTTCTGTTCGTCTGTAAACATAGCATCTGAGAAATCTACTTTTTTGGGAAGGTGCTCTATATATTTAGAATATACAATTACTTAAGATTTTCTTCAATAATTTATGGTTTAGCAAAGCCTCGATTATATTCATGTTGCTGAACTGGTCAGGCTTAGTCAAAAATGGTAAAATAATATTGTAAATAGCCATATAAGCCTTCTGGCCAAAATCAACTTCTTCTCTTAAAATTAATGGAGTGAGCAGAAGTAGATTTAATAATTTATTGAACAAATTCTTTCCCTCCTTGCATTTTAGAAGAATTGAAGGTGATACGTTAAGTAAATGAGCCACCACTTCAGGGAGTAAACTAATATTCCTGATTCCAATCTTTTGATAATTATCTTTTATAGCTTCTCTTAGAGAATTTGTTCTTTTTGAATTACACTTATTTAATGTTTCTCATGATTTGATAATAATAACCTTATCCAATACTTTAAAGAGTAAAGACTCAACCTTTTCAGAAGTTACTCCTAGTTTGAGAATTTTATCCAATATAACAAAGAATTGAGCACATTCAGCTTTGGCACTTGATGAATTTTCAAGAACAATAGTCTCTTCAATAAGAGTAAGAAGATATTGAGCAAAAGTTTCAATCTTTTCCTCGTCATTAGTGACTTCAGTCAAGTAATCTTCCATCGAAACTTTTTGAAGTATTTCAGAAGTAGTCTTGTAGCAAATCATTGTAACCATGTTTAGAAGATTAGACTTATATTGTTCAGCTATATTGGTCGCGTCAATAGTATAAGCTAATCTATACAGTTCAGCTTTATATTCGTTTTTAAGAGGAGGGTCTTGCTTTCTCTTTTTGCCTAGCCTTTCCAACTGGGACAAATTAGATTCTACTCTTTGATCATCTTGTATGTCCTCTAAGGTTTTATTTACATTTTCAATGAATTGATTATTTTGATCATCTTTAGCTTCTTCAGGATGCTTAGAATCGTCACTGTCGCTATCTTCTTCACTATCTTCTTCACTCCCACTAGAAACTTTTCTTTTCTTCATTTTCTGTTTTTGAGCGTCTTGGTTTTCATCTTCTGTATTTACCTCACTTGTTAAAAGACTTTGGTTTAAAGTTCAGAAACTCTTGATGTAATACAACTTTTGTTCATAAAATTCGTATTTGATTTCTTGCTCTTTAAGCTCAGATTTAGTAGAGTCCTTGAGCATCATTTCCAGGAGATTATTAAGCTGCTCTTTATCAAGTAAATTTAGCAAGACATTTCCATGAACTTGTATATTTTGCAATAGTATTTTCATTCCAATACACTTTTTGGTAAGCAATTCTGAGTCAGAATTTGTGCTCTCAGATTGAATGTTCAGAACTTTAATGAACTGGGTCAACCTTTTAGAATCTAGTAGGAAATCATTATAATTTGTACCAATATTAGGAATAAGTGTAACTTCATCAGGATTGCATAAAAATACATTCTTGTGACTACTGTCTTCATCATGAGGAATTGCTAAGATTTTCTGATTATCAAGAATATATTCAGTAGATAATGCCTGATGATTGAAATCGTTTTGTGCTCTTCTGTCTCTGCGAGAATCCTTAGAGTTTCCCCACTTGTCTATAAAGCCTACAATAGTAAATTTCTGGTCATCTTCAGTAACTCCGTGAGAACCAATGGTCATTCCAAGGTATTCTCCTCCTTCAAACAAGCTAGTCGTTGCGTCAAATTCTTCGAGAGAGTACTCCTCAGCTTTGATTAAGAAATGGTCAAGAACTTGTTCTATTTCATCTCTACAGCTGAGTTGTTGGTCAGACCTTAGAATTCTTTTGAAAAATCTGACGATTCCACAGCTCAGAGAATATTTTCCTTTGAATTGGGATTTTTCCTCTCTCCATTGGTCAGACCTAATCTGTAGCAGCAGATTGAACATGAGCTGAAGGAATTCTGAAGGGAACTCAGATTTAGTAGTCAGTTTAGTAATTGTTTGGACTATATTTAGAGTTGAAATACTCTTCAAGGCTTTATCAAATACTTTTATAGAAATTCCAACTTCAACCAAGTTTGATAATATTGCTAACACAATGGTTCCTTCTCTGATAGAGCATTTAAGCAATATTGTGATCAGCTTACTGATCTGCTCAGGCGTAGTATACCTCTTAACATAGTCCTTGATTCTATCATTTTTCAAAGAAATGCTTGTGAACATATTAAGTAAACGCAACAGTTTAATTGCAACTTCAGGATTTGAAGGACAAGAATCTTGTTCAGTAGACTTCTCATTAATAGGAGCTGGTAGATCTTTATCAGCTTGACTATCTTTCTCCGCTGATGTAACTAGTCCAATTTGCTCTTTTTGTTCTTCTTTTGATTCTTCTATAAGTCCCTCATTATGCTCTTCAACTTCTTCATTCTTTAATTCTTCTAAAGATTTTGTTGATTTGACTAGTTGCTCTAGAACAACTTCCAAACATGATTGAATAAGGATCTGAGTTACATCAGTAGTTACTACTGATTGAGCCTGCTTCAATGTGCTAACTGATGATTCACTTATTGAAACTTCAACATCCTTGTTTTTACCTTGCTCTAAAATTCTAGAAAAGCATGAAGTAATTATGAACTCCAGTGAGTCAATAATCAAATGCGATAAAGTTTTGCTATTGAGATCTTTTGAGAAAGTTATTTCTTCATTCCAGCTATATTTAATAAGGTTCTTCTCTTTATCTTCAAGACCATTTCCATCCTTTAAGAGTTGAATAATTCCACTATCGAGGATGTACTTATGATCTGAAGCACCGATTTTCCATTGCAAACAACCTAATAGGACTTTTAATTGATCCTGATTCTTAGTATCCTTTAATTTCTTAACTATCTCTGTGCAAACAGAATAAAAGCCTTCTCTTAGTTTCTTAAGTAAGGTATCTCCTATACCAGTCAGCCCATCTGAGTAATGAGCTAAAATCTGTTGATCTTTTCTGAGTGAGTTTCAAAAACCACTGAGTAAGTATTCTTCATCCTCTTGAGGAAGTTTCAAGCTTAATATTTTAGCCATGATCCTAAATCCTCAATATCTGTTCATTGCATTTACATATTTTTTGCCAATAACTTTTAAGATATCTTCCGCTGAATCAGAGCATTGGAGGACTGCAAGTACAGAAGAAGAGCAGGTTGAAAATATTTCTTTATTGGAGATATTCTCATAGTTAGTCACAGTTCCTTTAGAAGCTTGAATTGTTTTGATCCTTCTAAGTTTGTGCTTTGTGCTTTCAACTTCCTCTTTAGTTTTATCGTTGGCCATTTCTGCTTGCCTTAAGCTCTTCTCTGAGAAGTCTGAGTGTTTCCAAGTTTTTGGAGTTGCTAATTTCATCAAGAACTCAGCTTTCATGCATACTTTCTTAATTAGATTTTCAACGTCTTCTTGCTCCATCTTCAATATGTCTTCTTCTGACAGATCTTTCAACTTTTCGATTTCTTGGGTCTCAGTCTTTGTTTCTTCTTTTGTATCTTCATTATTTTCCAAATTCCTAGATTCGAGTTTCTTTTTAAGTTGCTCTGAAATATCCTTCTGTTTCTCTTGCAGCCATATTCTCATTTTGTTAGCTATTTTCCATCTATCAAAAATTCCACTAGTGTCTCCTAAGCTTTGGAGTTCTTCGATGCAGTCTTTGTTTCTCTGATTTTGAGGCATATCTTCTTCACAGTCTTCCATGAACATTTCGATTTGATCAACAATAGAGACTAAATTAGTATATTTACAGGTTTCATCGTGTCTGTTTAAGGCAAGATTAGCAGCAAAGGCACATCTGACTACAGTCATTCCTTTCTTACCTCCTGCACTAGCAGCAGGGTTTTTATTGAGAAGATCCCACTGGAGCAGATCGATCAAGGCATCAACTCTGTTATCTGTGCCTTCATAAATAAGAGCTTTCATGAACTTGTCTTCTTCTTCAATGTTGGCATTTTCGATATATTTTACCATTTGGAGATCATCGGAAATAACTGCAAGATCTTTAATTTGGTCAACATCCTCTTCATTAAAATGATTTAAGAACTTATCTTGGATTCCTCCTGAGAATATATTTGCTTGTAGCAAATACTGAGTTTCTCCCTTCTCATAATTATCCTGAGATTCATCCGTAAGGCGAACCATGTTGTAAGAGGCATGAGATAAAAATCTCACTGCGAGAGTACTGAGAGGCTTGAACAGAGAAGATGAAGTGGTATAAAAATCTGACTTTGATTCTTCTGAACATTCAACTCTAAAAATAACCTCAATATCACTTACTTTTCGAAATTATTTAGAGCTTCAGCTAACTCAATTGTCTTGTTATAGAATAAACTATGGTTAGTTGCTTTTCTGTCATTACATTCAGAGAACTTTGTGAAAATCAGGCTATTGACAACATCAAAAAGCTCTATATGAGAAGAATGCTGTGTATCGTCAATTTTATATCCAGAGAGCTCCCCATCTTTTTGCTCTTCATTCTCTGATTTCTCTTCTTTGTGAATATTTGAGGTCAAAACCCTAGTAGCTCTTTCAGCAATAATTATTCAGCTATTGACTAGCCTCTCGTAAATCTTATTGACTACATTATTGATATGGTGCCTGTTTCCATCTTTCCCTTCCTGTTCTTCCTTATGAGTCTGAGAATAGGCTTCTGAAATACTCATTGTAGAATAAGTTCTTATGAGCTTAGAACAGTAACTTAAGAGTGCATTCTGTGCTGCAAGATTCTTACTCTTAGGGTCTTTATCTGTTGTAATAAATTCACAACAGGAGTCAAATACTTTAAATAGCACAGGATCATCAAGGAACTTCTTCATATTTTCAGGGGTTGATAAATACTGGGCAAAAATGGTAGTGTTCAGAGTGATTGCTTTCTCCTCCATAGATTTGATGAAGTTATTAATCTTCTCTGTCACTTCATCCTCTGTCATTGGGTTAATCTTATACAAGAAACCCTGGATGGCTACTCACTTCTCAAAGATTGATTTCCATATAGCCTGGATTTTATCACTAAATCTAGTTTAAAGAGAGGAGCAGTGAGCGAAGAACATTGAACTCAGCGTTAGTAAGAAATCTAGTTCCTAGGTGCTTCACAAAATGTGAATATAAATTTGAAATTGTAAAATAAGACAAGACTTGAATGTAATCAAAGTAAAAGTCTTGACATTTTCATTACAAAAATATTATCTCTCAAAAGGTAATTTTATGATGAACTAAAAAGTAGACTTGTTACTCTAAAGTAGTTCAAAGGTACTTAAAGGGTTTTGAATTAGGAATATCTCTAGTTTTTCCAGAGTAAAAATACAAAATAATCTTCTGGTTTAATACTTACTTTTCATAAACTTTCTCTTCACTTTCAATAATGAATGCTACCAGCTTTTCTACTTTCGATGCTAAACCAGAGCCATGGTCAATCTCTTCAAATTGAATTTTCAAGGTATCAAAGACTTCGAATAATTTCTTCACAATCTCTAGTATCCACATGAATTGGTATTGTTGTAGCAGGTTTTCCTCAGTCATTTCTTGATATACAAAATCAGAGTACTTTTCAAAGCATTTGATAACTTCTTGAACAAAAGTGGTTGAAATATTGGGGCCAAACTCTCCTCGGTATAGCCTTGCTTGATATTTAAACATACTATCAGAGCTTTCTTCGTCTAATCTTTTGATTGCTGAGATAGCTTCTTCTACATTTTCTCAACCCTTTTTCAGTATAAACATGAGCAAGTATAAAGAGTATTCTTCAGAGTCGTTTTCTGGATAATTTGCATCAGCTGTTTCTGCAGGTGATCTCAATTCAAGATATCTTAAGAAATTCTCAGCAGATCTTGGTTCAATCTTTCTCTCAACTTTCTGAAGTCTGAATGTATTCTTAGTAATCGGATCAACATTATTTGTGTTAGCGCATATGGCTCCTTTTCCAAGGAAAGGATTCTTTTGGAAGCCTTTTATTTTAAAACTTCTGAGAGTTGGGTCATCTTCATCCCTCTCCCATGCCCAAAACACATTATTCTTATAGTCGTAGTCAATACCTTTACTAAAACTTGGAATCTCAAAAACCTCTTTATGTCTTACACCAGTGGCCATGTCGAAGAGGTATAGCTTATTATCGTAAGGTATCATCAAGGTTTGACCATTCGTAGAAAAAGAGAATTTACTGGATGGATGATTTTCAAAAGCATTCCAAAGATCTTCAGTGTCTTGTTTAACTCTCTCATAATCGTTACTATACATAAAGGCTTAGTAAATTCTTAAGAAATTGTAAACATTTAAAAAAAATTAAAAACTGAATTTGATCCAATTGATGTTAAACATAGAAAAATTAACTATTATAGAGGACTTTCATGATCTAAACAACCTATAAAGAGTGGAAACTCTTCTCTAAGACCTAACTAATTCTATCAAATAAGCAGGATAAATTTCGTCATTTTAATTATGTCTGAAAGAACTCTTTCGATAACCATAGATTTTCAGCAGACTTCAGTATTTCTGATAACTGTTTTCCTTAAAGGATTTTCTTTAGGATATTTTTGACTTTCCAGAATCTCTTCATAACTCTTTAGCAGACTTTTTATGCTGACAGTTGCATCTCTAGCATTTGCAATTTCTTGGGCTTAAGGTCTTCTGTATCTACCATTGAAGCTTGCTTTTGTGATTTCGCCTAGCTATCTCTCTTCTTGATAACACTTTAGAGACTTTGGTTGACTTGGCTCTTCTATCTTTGCTTCCATTTGCCATTTTACTTTCTGGAAGTCTGTTCTTCTTTATTCTCTGGTTAAACTATGATGTTTATGGAATAAAGACTCATCATCCCACTCCAATAAGTTAATATTCTTTTTTGCCTCTAGAACTTCTTCTCAAGTTGGAATGTTTGTTTTGGGAGAGTTTTCAGGAATTTAAAACCCCATTTTTATAGAACCTTGATTAATTTATAAATTTGATCCTAGAAGATCTTTCAGATTGAGGTTCTGAGTCATTCATAGCAATAGGTTCAAAGCATGAGATCCTTGCTTGAGATTTTCATAATTTCATGAAAAATTATATTCTCTGACAAATTTAAAGAATATGTTTCATACTTTTCTCTTGCATAAAAAAGCGGATGGTTTGGTCTTCCGAAGAGTAGATCCTGGGATAATTCGTATTTTTATAAAATGTTTGATGCAATATTTATTAATAATTCTCAAGTCTAATAAATCCTAAGAGTCTATGATTTGGTTGTAATAACAAAGGCTTTGTAACTAATTAAGAATTAATTGCAGAATTAACTTGTTTGCTTCAAACTATTAAAAGAATTTTTAATTGTTTGAAATTGGAGCTATTTAAAAATACAGTATAATTTTCACTGTTAGAAATAAATTTTGAGTTTTACCTGTTAACATTGGCTGGCTTAAAATCTAGCTTTATAGATGAGATAAACTCCCATGTGTCTGCATTATATGATTCAATTTCTATAAATTTCAATTTTTCATCTCCCTCGCTGATATTAAAGTGATATGAAGGAAGGTATAGCTTAACTCCATCTGTGAAAATCCAACTTTCAAGAACATGTCTGAGAATATTGTGAGCATTATTTCTAATTTCTCTTTGAAGAAGTGTAGGATCTGATTGTTCAAGTATAGGTTTATTCACATCATCAATTCCAACTTTTCTCTTTGTTTTTTTAATTCTCTCTTTTATCTCTTCATTTTCAATAAAATCTAAAGTGTCTCGATCTATTACTTCCAATGGCTTAATATACTTCGTTTTATCTCTGTTTTCTTCTATAGCCTGTCTTAAGTACAAAACTCCATTCACAAAGGCTAAGGATCACTTGTCATTAATATCAAGCTTTCTATACTTATAGATTTTTCCTGCCTTGACATGACTAGAATCTCTGAACCCAACTTTGAAGAGTCCTTTTCTTCTGATAAACATATAAAAGTAGTCTTCTTCGAAGGCAAAGGAACACCGAGTACTCCAATTAACATCATGTTCAATGTCATTGCTTATCTCGATTCTTTTGCTATCCTCATAGATAACTGAAAAGTTTCCATCTGGCTTAATCTTGATTGGTTCTGGTTGTGGCTGGTCATCAGCTTCCTCAATCTTTATTTGTTTAAAGTAAGGGTTTAGAGATAACTCAGCATGCAAATTTATTTTCCATTTCCTTGAAGAAATGTAGTTGTAGGCTACCAAATAATCTTCACCAGAGCTTCTGATGTTCGCAACTAAGATAATCAATCTTATAGCTAACTCCTTAACTTGCTCACTTGTAGTCTCAGAGTCAAGCAATAGGATAAAGCAGTTCATATACTGATTTAGTTTATCCTCTCTCACATAGAAGTCAGGAGAGGATGGATCAAACTTTCTTGGTTCTTTGTGATATAGAGAGTTATAAAGCCTTTGTAGCGCTTTCTCCTGTTCGTTCATAGACACACTTCTCAAAAAGGACAAGAGTATAAGATCCACACCAAATAGACTTGTAATTGAGTCATCTACAATAATCAGAGTAAAACCTACCATCTTCCGTTTCAGAATTCTCTATTTTCATGATTAATTCTTTTCTAAAATTCAGTGAACTATCTTGTTCATCTTTATTTCCTCAATAAAGCATGTACTAAACAGTATAATAATGGTCCCTTACAGAGTACAGCATCGCAAACTTAGAATATAAGTCCTCCAGATATCCTTTTGTCTTCTTATTGTCTATTCTCAGTCCAATTAAATGTTTTCTGAATCCTACACAAGAGTTAAGTTGTTGCTCTGAGACAGAAACTTTTACACAGAAAATATGAGGAATTTTTAACCGAAACCAATTAACTCTATCAAATGTCCTTGCCAACTCCAACTATAAGACAGCTTTGAAATTTGATTACTCAGATAAGATTTAGACAAGAACGAATAGTGATTTGGATCCAATGTCTGCTAGTATTTTTCATAACTCTTCTAACATTGGGAAATCTATGAAAAGGCAATCTGCAACTCTTTAAAAATATCCAACTAAAGCATAAAAGATTTTCTGCTTGGTTCTAAGAGAAAATGTATTTCCGGTATAAGAGAATGCAAAGAAAGAAAACTCATGTTTAAAAGGATCGAAGAAAGTGCGAAGTAAGACTGAAACTCTCTTCTTATCTCCAAATTGTTATCTCCAGATTCTTTTCTAGAAGTTAGAGGATTTCTAGGTGGAGTCATTTTAAAAATAGTAATTGAGTGCATTAAAGATGGGAGCGTAAAGTCTAAAGCACATAAATACTTTAAAAAAAATATTAGAACTATCGAAGCTCATATTATTAATTACATATATAAACAAAGTGGAAGATTCCTGACTCAAACAAATAGCCAATGATACATTCTACAAGGGGAAGAATTGAATCAGACTTCAATATTTGTCTCTATAAAAGTAGAATGCCCTATTTTCTATTCCATTTTGAATTGGAACTCTAATTTTGATGCAATGGCATCAACCTTTCCTCCCTCCAACCTAAAGCTTGCATTTCTTTCAGGAGCACTTTTCATATTGAACATGTTTCATCCATTTATAATGTACGATGTGGATAAAAGCTCTATCATCAACATGGCTTCTAGATGTTTTGAAAAGATATTTTCAAAGGCCTCCTCCTTACTCTGAACTAAGATACAGAGAGATTTAACCAAGAAATTAGAAGGATTCCGAGTGAATCTTTCAGAAATTAACGATTGAAGACTTTTAAAGCAGCTTATTAAGCCTAGGCTACACAAATTGAGATGTTACATTGCTAAGCATTAATTTTCAATCTTCTTTTGAATTTCAGAAGAAGAATTAAGTCAAGAAAATCCTTAAATTCAAAGGAAACAAAACACGTATCTATACAAGAATGTCAAACTCAGAAGTAATAAGAAATCTGGGTGAGAAGAATCTAGACCCTATAGGTATGTTTAATCTATCTTTCAATGGATCTCATATCCCTCAGCCTAAGGCTCAGCTAAGAAGAATATGACCTCTGAAAATATTAGTTATGCTGTTTCTTCAGAAAGAATATTCAGACATTTTGAGCAAGATTCTTACGACTAGTAGTGGCAGCTTAGGAGCAAGACAACTAAGGCTTAATATCTAACATATGTATTATCACCTAAAGCTTCTTGTATTTTTCAAAATGTATCAAAATGCTTTTGCTTTCAAATTTTTGATGCTCAAAAATTGACACATTTAAATAATTTTCAAAAAGATTTTAGAAGAAGCAAAATGGATATGAGTAGCTTAAAAATTTCGGTAATCTTACTTGTATCTTGTAAGGCCTTGATAAAATTTTCTGAAGTTGAGACTCCAGCTGTGTAGAATTCATTTAGTTCTGCCTCCAGATTACTTTCCCATTCCTTCCTTAGGTCGGCATCGTTGCTCTCTTTACCCAAGAATCCTGGAAAGATAGTATTGATTTCCTCATTTTCATTCCTTCTTGAGCAAGCTGACTCTATAAAGATGGGAATGAATATAGTTGTAAAGCATAGTTAGAGGCTTGAGTGTTTATTCATTGATAAAATATTTTCATATTCACCAATATTTGAGACGCTCAAATATCTTTCATCTTCTTAACTTTTAAAGTTAACTAAATCCAGATATTTTCATCTCAAATAAAACTTGAGCAAACAAGAAGATATTTTTCAACTACCCAAATCCCATCCCCCTCAAACAACACCATAAAGATGACCAAAAGCCCTACAAACACCTCCTTCAACTATTCAACCCCCAACTCCACCCACCCAAACTCCAAGATCTTCCACCCCAAAAATCCCATCTATTCCTCTACCCCATCCGCCCCTCTTCCAAGCTCCTTACCTAACAATTCCCTTGCCTTATCACCTTTAAGCAGTTCCTGGATAGTTTCTTTCTTAAAGGCATGGACCACGCCGTGCTGTTCAGCCTTCTTTAGAATCTCTTCTGCTCTAGTTGCTCCACTTGTTGGAGATGTATTTCCCATATTTTTAATAATAATAGTTCTACCAGAGGGAGTTCATATGGGGTTTTGGGGTTTTGGGGTTTTGGGG